GGTGAGTCAAGTTGAAATGGCAACATCCTTCTCTAAATTTTACCCCTTCCTTGCCCACAAAAGGGTGAGTCAAGTTGAAATGGCAACATCCTTCTCTAAATTTTACCCTCGGGTGGGCAGTGCAATGTTGGGCAGAAAAAGTCTGGAGCCAAATGATTTATGCGGAAGCTGACTGAAGATTTCTAAGTACCAATGGCTCGAGGAAACAGGTGCTACACGCGTATAGCGTAGACACGCCTAGGGGAACCTAGGACCCTACAAAACACAGAGAGGGAAGGGGGAGGAGGGATTGGGTGACAACTGTGTGACAACCTCAGTGAAGGCATGAGTGACTAAGTCAGCAAAGAAACAAGTAAGTGGCCAGGTTAATGAATGAATGAGTGAAAGAATGAATGAATCAATGAATCAATGAATGAATGAATGAATGAATGAAAGAATTAAAGAAGGAGTGAGTGAGTCAGTGAGTGAGTCAGTGCGTGAGTGAGTGAATGAGGGAGTGAGTGAGAAAGAGAGTGAGTGAGAGAGTGAGTGAGTGTGAGTGAGTGAGAGTGAGAGTGAGGTTGAGGCAGCACATCCGCGTGTACAGACGAGGCATCTCACGCGCGTGTACAGACGAGTCACCTTGCGCGTGTACAGACGAGGCGCTGACCGGGCCGACGGTCATGGCCAGCATGAAAGCTTAACGATATAGTATAATCTCACCAGGTGTTCAAGGGCATGGCCATAGCATATCATACCAGCTCAATCCAAAGTATGCAACTGACAAGAGGGCCATCCCAAAAACGAAAGCAACTGCCCAGATGTGCCCGAAAGCAACTGCCCAGTCAAGCTGCTGCCGCCAAAGGCAGACCCCCAGTTTCACTCCGCATCAAGTGAGCACGGCGCCAGAAGAAGTTCATGCCATGAGCAATGACCTGGACCGCCCCCAGCGAACTCCCCGATCCGCCGGGGATCACACGCGGATCTTCTTATATATGTGATCCGGGCGTGTGTAGCATGTGCAGCGACGATCGACCAGTCTGCTAGTCTACCCAGCCAGGGCTGGACTGCGTCTGCCGGATCACGACACTACAGGCCCCATGCAGCTCCAAGTCTCCGCACCGCAGGATTCAAGACTCGGATGGTGACGCCACTCGTGGGTGTCCTGCAGGGTGGCTCATCCCCGTTTCCAAGACCAGTTCTATAACTCGGCCTTCCCTCACCTCCAAAGCCATGCCCACGGCTACTGGATGGCTACTTTAGCATGCTATAGCTGTTCGTTTCATCGGCGCACCTCTCTACGCAGCTGCGCTGCCTGGACCTGGCCACCGTTCCCACGTTGGTGCGGCTTCCACGCAGTGCGCACCAGGCTCCAGGCCCATACAGGACCTGACATGGACCCTCCATGGACCAAGTCCATGCCCTGGTGGATTTGGAGATGATTTCTGACTGATTTCGCCACCGCGACATCACATTCAGAGAACCGCTGCTTCCTGCTCTGGCCTTGACGGAGCCAGCATCCACCCATTCCAGCACCAGCCTGGGAAGTGGATGGCAATGGTCCCCTGGATGACCTTCCTCTTTTCCTCTACAAACCGGGGTCCACTTCTACTATTTCAGGGAGTGTGTTCCTTTGCTCGTTGTTCATCCCGCGGTTCGCCAACGACGAAGCTGCTGGTGGGATCCGACAATTGCTCTGTGGTGTCTATGGCCACAAACAAGGTACATGTCGAATGGTTTGGCCACACAAACGAAGGCGTGGCGCTGTGGAATTCTGGGGTAGAGACAAGAGGTCGAATGGGTTAGCGTTTACGGCACCACATACTTCCACTGGATCATCATCGGCAATATCACCTCCATACCAGGAGTCAATGTGCTTTTGCCACATTTCAACTAGGGTCTTCTGCATTATCTGGATCTGGCGCGTGTTCAATCAATAATTTTTCAGGATGAGGGCGCAATACCTAGTCACTCTCTCTCTCTCTCTCCATCGCCATCTGCAAAGTTCAGCTAGGCTGAAGGCGAAACTGTGGCCCAGCCATCTCAACCGCCCAGCTGTAGTTGGTAATTGTTGGTGAATGATTGGGAATGCTCTGAAGCATAGGTTGGCATATGTTCTGATACTTGAGGCAAGTCCAAAGAAACAATTCAATGGTGTTGGGTCCAGTAAGACGGTGCCACACGCCAAGCAGCTTGTTGAATGCTCTCTGGTTGAACCAATCGCGCTTGAAGCCCCTCCATTCGTGGGCATCAAAGGCATCCAGGAAAGCAAGCATGAACCTCACCACCGAGCTTTCGGCACCACTTTTGTCTCACCTCACATACTGAATGTCCCCGCCTTAATGCTGAAGGAGTGGCTGTGTGATAGACCTAAGCTTCCCAAGAGCATGCGTACTTTGCTGAGGTGTTGCTGCCAAGCTTGGAGGGGCCTACTGGCTGAAGAAGGGGTTTGGAAGAAAGAAGAAGAACTTTCTGCCAGATTCCTCCGGCTGCCACCTTCCAGCAGCAAGACAACATGTTTTAACATTTCTGGGGGGGCGTTTCTTGTAAGCCAAAGCTGAAATGCACTCAAGTGTCGTAGCCCGTATTGATGTGGTCTTCCGGCCGGATGGACACATTTAGAAGGTGCATGTCCGGGAAGAAGAGGTCCGTCATGACCTGAGACGAACAGAGTTCTTGATCACGTGCCCAGCGTCCCTGGTATGGCGGTCGGACTTGCTGGTGGTATTGCAGCCAAACAGTGCTCTTAAGTTATGACGGAGGACCGCCCAAAGCTCGAAAACGCTTGAAAAACCATGCTGGAAGCTACTTGCAATGGCCTCCAACCTAATATGGAACGACTGCATGCGGTTCCCTCCACACCGGTGAGTGCCCCGCCGCCCCCAGCCGCGCGGGACGCCTCCAGGTCGGCGTCGCCCGTGAGGTGTTGGAAAGGATCCGAGACGAGCACGACGTCGGTGTCCAAGACGAGGGCTGCCAGACCCAAGGTCATCAAAGAGGCCATCAAGCGATACCTGGTTTGGTGTCTAGGCTGTCGAGACCGGTTGGTGAAACGAAGCCTTCCGAAACAAAAGAATCTGGGAAGACGACAACAACTCCACCACCCCGCCCCTTTTGTTTACACCCCGCCGCTGGTTTTTTGAACCCTCCACCACCACCCTTAAAAACAAAACAGTTTTTGGGGGGGGAGCGACGTTCTTGGCCTTGGCCAGGGCCTAGCTGACTTTGAACATCCCCCCTTTGGCCATGGGTTTGCCCTTGCTCAGGAGAGCCACTGGGAACCAACACATAAATATCGTAAAGTGATTTAGGTCCACGGCCTAGGACTTGCGGTGTGCTCCGTTCAGGCTAGAGGGAGCCAGATTTGCGCCAGGCCGCTTGAATTTCCACAAGTCCTGAGCCGGAAACAAAAGAAATTCACTGCTGCGCTGCGGAGACATATGTGACATGCTCCTTCATCATGCCCCTTCAGGATCCCCAAACGATGAACAGCAGCGTGTTTCCTCGGCCGACGCGACGTCTTGCTTGGCCGTGGCTCGTCATTCTGCCACGGATCTTTCACAGCATTTTCATCTGCAGGTCCCGGCAGCAGAACCTTCAAACCAGGCAGGGTGAGACTGTGAGACGCGCAGTCTCCGCATTGAGCTGGTCTGGTCGCTGTTTTTTGGGGAAAAAACCTCCACTCTTCAGCAGGCCATGTCAACGTGTCAACGTGTCAACCGAGACTCGGCTCGTCTTTCGTACCGAGACTTGGCGTCGTCTCTCAACGTCTGAACATTGTGGTGACTCGAGCAGGCCAGTGTAAACTCCATGGGCTAGATATGGCTAGATAGCCAATACAGAATGGATGTTTACCAAGTAGCAGTTGTGAACTGCTCTGCTCTGAGCTGCTGATCTGCATCTCGGTCTAGGCAAATCACTGCCTTGGATCTGTTCCATCACCAAAATTCCATAAAATGGTCGCACTGACGCATGAATTGTTCACTGTCAGGCATTGACACACCTTTAGCCGCACCTTGGAGCGGGCATTTCTCTTCCAGCAAATTTCTCCTCATACAGCAGCCGTTGCCCCTATGCAGGATGCAGGATGGGGGATGGAAGGGGTCAGCTTCCGCCCCCTCAATGGCAGTCACCCGCTTTCCGCGCCGCATTCCACACGGATCCACCGCCCTGGGCGGCCCCAACGAAGGAGTGCTCGAGCCATGGGACCTCGACCACCGGAGGGCGGACGGCTCGAGTCCAGGGCTTCGTGCAACGCGTGGCGTCGCGTTTCGCGTGCAACGCGTTGGGTCGATCTAAGGCTGCGGCATTTCTCCGGATGGACATGGCGAGATTCAGTGCCATTTTGGCGAAGTCCCCTCCTGCATCAAGCCAACTTCGAGTTGAAAACTACAACATGAGGTTGGAGGCCATCGGTTTTTGTCTCTATGTTCCTTCTTTTGTCTTTTTTCTTTGGTTGGAGGCTACAGCAATTCAATCTGGATGTGTCTGAAGATTTGCCCTTTCCTGTGGTCCAGGTCACCAACAATCGGCCAGTCTTCTGGGACACCTGCTTGCAGCGCAGCTTTCGTTTCGTGCTTTCGTGCCACTCGGGGCTTCAGCATCCAGTGCTGCTTCTTCCCTCGCATCTAACTAGCATCATTTGAACATTTGGTAGCTTTATCGGCTACATCTCTTGGATCTTGTCTGAAGAGCCGCGCCCCGGTTCGGAGGGCATCGCGTCAGCAAGCAAAGGAAAGCAACCGTCCCAATTCTTGGGAACACGGGCACGTCCTTCCAGCTCACAGCATTGCATCCAACAAGCTTCATTCTGTGACGTAGCCCAGCCTCCCTCAACTTGCTCAAAGGGTCCAATGGCAACATCTTGGCACGGTTCTCCCCGCGAACAGGACCTCAGGATAATGAATGGCTGGGCGGACCTACAACTGCGGGAGATGCTGCTTAAACCTTTATTGCAATGTCAATACAGATTCAGGGTGCAACTAGAGGTGTTCTTGCTAGAGGTTGTCTTCAACAATGAAGAACTTCCCTCAAGGGAGGTGGTTCGAAGGGTTCCTTCTCCTGAAAGCATGCCATCTGGGCTGCATGGCCATCTGGAGTAAAAGGCAGCATGCTGCGAGGTTGCAGATCTGGCGGAACAATTGAGGTGCTGAAGGTGCTCTGCTCCCCGGACCAGAGACAATGCATCTGTATCTACATCTCAAATGATTCCCGTGTGCACCATGAGCAAACAAACATAAAGTTCAATCTAGAACCGATTGAGATTCTCACGAACATCCAGTTGCTGATCAGTGGCGGATCCAACTTTTTGTGGGAGATGTTTTCCGGTTTGCTTGGATGAGACGAATAATGATATCATGATCACCCAAGATGACCCCTTAGAGGCATTAGAGGTGTTCACTGTCTTCGTGTGGCCCGAAAGCTGAATGCCACGAGGTCGTGCAATCTTCTGTCTCTCGATGTATGTTTTGCAATCTGTCAATCACAATCAATCTAACATGGCCTGTCCCTATGATTCATGGCCTGTGATTGACCATTCACAACGAAAGCAAAGCCTTTCATGGCCTATCCCAGCCTCTTTCCACCAAGGCTGGACCCCCCGTGGAGTGACTCAGAGCTGCATGCCGCACACGAACCCACTCTGAGAGTAGTCCTGCCATGCATGCGAGGTGATTGGTATACACTCACGTACGTGGCAAGTCTCTGTTTGGAACATGAAGGCGCACCAAGAGCATCTAAGCTTTCCCAGATGCCCAGTCTGCATACACTTTTTCAAGCTGCGAATGAAAACAGAATACCTAGAGCGCTCAAGCCTGATTGGAACTGAACGGGGTGCCTTTTGGTTGCCTCGTAGCCTGGTGGCACCCTCCTGTACCATGTATTCCCTTGCAGTGATTCAATCGCGCGTTCATTCGTCAAATCGTTCACACCATATTGCATCCGTCTCCCAAATGCCCGTCGTTGATGTTTCCGGTCACTTGGCATGTTCCTCCGAAGTCTTCAGTGTCGCCAAGGGTTTCCTTTTATGTTTGACGGGGGGTTCTCCCCATTTGTCATGAATCCTAATCTTTTGTTGAAATAGGCTGCCTGTACTAAAAGCCCTCTCAAGCAAAGCTGTTTTCCCTCTTGTGAGGCCCGTGAGGGGCGCTCATGGCCTGTTGCAACAAGTTATTTTTCGTGCATGATTCCTGTATGGCCTAGGCCAACGTCAGTTCTACCCACCTTGCTCTTGCATCAACACCATCGCTGTTTGAACAACGCAGTGCCTTGCTGAGTGCTAGATGAAGGGACGAAGGATAAAGTATATAGTACACACATGTAGAACAAACTTCCCTTTCTCCATTCTCCAGGGCAATTGAAGCGAGCCCAAGTGAAACCTTAAATATGAGTGCCTGCTTTTGTGGCTGCTTGCCAATTCGTGAATATATATACTTCAATGCTTTTCAAACATCTTACAGAGATCCCCGTTGATATTTAGGGTGAGGGGTCGGGGTCCCTATTTGGT